CTACAAATAATTTTAAAATTTTGTTAATAAAATTTATGTTGAGTGTTAATTTAAATGTTGCCTAAAATTTTTATAAATTTCAAACAAAATTCGACTAATTCTAAAAATGTTATCTTAAGAATTGTAAATTCCGTATACTTACATGTATTTTTATAAAAATTTTATGCCCAAAAATTAAGCAGTTTTTGGAGTAACTAAAATCTGATTCTGTCTTGTTCTGGATTTAGGATTAGAGGTTTTTTTATAAGAGAAGGAAAATGTATAAAATCAAGGTCAGATTTCAGTATTACCATACCCGAAGGATTTTTATAGCAATCGACTTTTCTTGATAAGTTTGCGAAATACCTTTATAAAAATTTTATTTTTCAATTTTACAAATCTAAGAAAAATTTTTTATCAAAAATTAAAAATGGAAATAACTCCAACAGTCTATTCTGTTGCATTTATCGAAATAATCCCAATAACAATTTTAATTCCTTCTTCTCTTTTAAATTTATTTTTATTGTGGAAAAGTTGTGTTTTAAATAATAATTCTAAAATTATTCTTATTTCACAAAGTATTGCTATTTTTATTTATTCAATAACTCGGTTAATATTGTAAGTTAATTTTTGAATTAACTAATACGAGCAGATTTGATTATAAGATACACCCAATCTTATTTACAATAGATTTCTAAATTTTAAATTTTCAATAAAAAATTATATGGACTTATTTTTTCAGGCTTATTTTAACCTTCACTAAACAAAATAATTTATTCATATCACTTTACTATTGTCTAGCGACTATTGCAATTCCTTGCATATCTCTTGGTAATTTGATGGGGCACGTTTTAATTCTGGAGAGAACTATAGCTACTTTATTTAACACAAAATATAGCCAAACAAAATTTCCAATTTTTGGAATTTGTTGTATTTCAATTTCGGTATTTAATTGTTTTTATTTACTTGTACCGAAATCGAAAAAGATTTGATATAATTTAAATAATTTTGGTCTTTGCTCAAAGTTTATTCGTCCAATCAAAAATAATTGGATTTTTCTTGGTGTTGCAAAGTTGGGGTATGGTCAGGGTGGCCCTTTCCAAAACACTAAAATAGGGCGTCTCTAGTCAAATCCCCCATAATCCTCGTAAATCCTCCGAAATCTACTATACTAAAAATCCGTTTATATTTCACGCAAGCCCTTAAAACCCTCGATTTCACACAGAGTCTTCACAGATTCTTCTTTTTCAGCGCCGCAGGAAAAAATTTTGAGAATTTTTTAAGGCTTTAAGCCAAATTTCTTCCTTTTTCAGAGCCGCAGGCGCTGAAATTTTAGGAATATTGGAAGGCTGTGAAGCCTACTTTTTCTGCCATTTCATTTACAAAATTCTAAAATTGTAAAAATTATACAACAAGGTAAAAATAGGGCAAAAATATGGCAAATGAAAAAGTAGGGAAAAATAGGGCGAGAAGGTCGAAAATAGGGCAAATGCCTGTAAATAGGGCAAAAGGACACCCTGGGTATGGTTTCAAAACATTTTTTTATGTTCGGGACTTACGCCCACTTGGTCTGGGACCATTCCTGTCTGGGACCGTATATTGTGTAATACATAGAAATGTTTAATCATTTTTCAGTTATTTTTGTCAATAATTGATAGATTAATACCTACAAATGCTACTAATGCCAATTTATCTAATTTATTTGGAATTATTCTAGCAAATGTTTCACTATTATTCAGCATATTGGAATTAATTTTATGTTTTATATTTTAATTTAAATCTGTGATATCATATTTATAGGCATTTTCTCGATTGACAACCTTCAATAAAAAAATGTATAAAAAATATTTGAATAACAAATCTAACACAAAAAATAATTACACTCTGAATGAGCGTTATCGACAATTAGAAAATGTTTATACATGAAAGCAATTGGCACCCTCATTTTTCTTTCATTTTATAAATAATTTGTCTACAAGTATTTTAATTGTAATAATAAATTACTTGCAAAATGAAATGATGGACAATGTTATTTGTTTCTATTTTGTAATACATGCAATTTGTAAACTTTGTATTGAAATTACTGTAATAACGTAAGTTCATTTATTAGTTACTTGTCAGTCATTTGTCATCACCTTTTTTAATTATTGTCATAAGGCATCTTATGTCATAACATATGCTTACACCTTCTTTGTTAGCTTTCTAATATTGTCGAATTCCAAAAGATTAAAATTTTGTAAAACCTGACAACAGTTAAGTCCCTGATATAATTCTAGATTTATGCTAGACCGTTCGTAGATTCATATATACTCCAAAATTTATATTACATGTATTTTAAATATTTTTTAATTTGGTAGGATCTGACTCTTAATGTACGGAGCTGACTAAGCGATACCTTCAATTTAAGTTAACCCTCATTCTAAGTAAGATTTTTTCATCCTGAGTGAGGTCTATTTGAAACAGGGTTTGATTCATCGAATCGGGGCGAGGAATCCAAATGGGTCAGATTCCTCGGATCATGGTTCGGGTAAACCGAGACATCCCTGATTCAAATACGACCATTTACAACGAAAAAGTTGTTATAACAGACAAGTAACATTTATTTACTTAAATCTTTAGTAATTTTAACGTTAAAATTTTATTTTATAGTTTTCACCCAGTTTTAAATCGAAATTTAAATAAAATAATTACAACAATAATTAATTTGCTTAAATGTCGACGCTCTTCTAGAGTAGATGTTCAAAGACAAACTGTAATTAATTTACAACAAATTGTTGCATCGAAAGAACAGGATTTGCATTTTGAAATGTTAAAACAGTCGTGGATGTGATTTTGAGCTTTGACACCACCCCGAGCTTTATAAATTATAAAATATTTATGAAAAATTTTTAGTTTAACTTCTACGTAAAGACATTTTAACAAAAAGCAAATTCCCCTCAATCATATATAATTTTTCCCCTCGATCATACATATTTAAATATTTCTTATTAAAAATGTTTATCTCCAACTTCCCTTAATTTTATTTCCTTATAAACAATTTAATCTTACCCTTTTTAATTTTCTCCTGAACTAAAACTATATATTTTTTAAAGTAAATTTATTTGTACTATATAAACTCGTTTAAATAAACTTTAAATAAAAGTGTTATAAAACATAAAATGGAAACCCGAATATACAATATACTGTGAATAAATTAAAAAGTAAAGTTAAATTAGTTAGCCCCAAACCTATTAAAACAGTAAGTGGGGCTTGTCTGAGGAAGAGTTACTTGTCGGAGGAGAGGAAGATTTTTCATCTTATTTAAGTTAATATTTTTAAGATAACTTACATTAACAGACAAAAAATAACTAAAAAATTAATTGACAAAAAATTTCTGAATATTTTTTGGACAAAAATATTTTAATTTTAACAAAATCTAGGTTAATGTTATTTTAACATTTATAAAAATGATATTTAACAAAAATAAATTCCTTCTATAAATGAATAATAAAATATGAAATGAATGCGAAAAAACATTTAATTTAAAAATATGAATAATTTAAACTAAAACAAACTAATAAAAATCACACGGTATTTGAAAATATTAAAAATTTAACTCATCAAGTATTACAAATATTTAATAGTGCTACTAAAAATTACTATTATTATTATATTTTCAAATTTTTTAATCGGGTTGATCAATTTTAGAGACGGTTATTTACCCACATTTATTTTAATTTAATTTTAAAAAACGTCATTTTATTTAGGAAATGTTTTACAAATTTAATTTTATTTAATCTTCAATTTTAGTGTACGGGAACTGAGAAAGCAGATAATCCAGAAATTATCGCTGCAAATAAGCAGTTATGCAACATTACAACATCAATTGCAGTCTTCACTGTTGATTTCGCCTGTCAGAAGGCAGTGGCACTGGCAACTGGATATACGGATTGCGAATCCGCGAAAATCCGAAGCAAAGTTGTTTCTGACTGTCGCAAGATGCTCCATTTTGTCGAATTCTCCATGTGCATTCTATGATAAACGACAAAGCTTGTTGTCAACAGAAAATTAATGCCGCTACAGATTCTGTTATTAGCAATTGTAACAAGTTGACCTCTGCCGTATATGAATTCACGCTCTCTCATTGTAAGGTGGTTAAGCGTGAAGCGATCTATGCTTCAGAAGCAGGATGCTTCCCGGCTACGAATGTGGTATCAAGTTTTATATTAGATAAATCTTTTGCACTTGGAGTGCCGAAGAATAATACAAATATCACAAATTTTAAATGTTTTAAATTTTTAAGTACACATTAATTGTATCTTGAACTTGCGAGTGATATTTGATTAAATAAAAATATGTTATACTGATTTAAAATTTTTTATTAAAATAAAATAAATAGACAATTTTAAAGAGCATTTTAAATATTTTATTAGAACTCATTAATTTAATTCTTTTGAAGAAGTTACATTGTTATTTCTGCCTTCTTTTCTTGAAATAATGCCATTTTCAACAAACAAAAGTAAACTTTCTATTCGGTTTAGTAGATCTCTGTCCCGGAAAAAATGAACAGAAATTAATTTATATTTTAATTTAAATATAATTTAAAGGAAAAGATGGCAAATTAAAGCAAAAATGTTAATTTTGGACAGAGATTTGTGACCATGCTGGGTCATAGCCTACATCTGGAGGCCAACTATTTTTTTATGATTTTTATGTTTCTTCTGAACTCTAGCCCCTAAATTCAGCCCAAATCAACTAACCAGTCTCATAGTTAATCATCATTTAGGGGACATTTTACAAAGATTGTTGCATCCTGAGAAATTTTCTGATATCCGAATCCGGAGGAAGAATTTGAGATTTATTTTGGATTTCAAGCCTAACTCGGATTCTTTTTTTCGGATTTGCCAACTCTAACATTGACAGGTTTCAATATTCAAAAAACGGAAATTTCAGATATCCCCTCCGGGTATCTTAATTAAACCCTAATAATAAGTTTACAAAACTACAGACAATTTTTAAACAATTTAAAATTTTAAAATAAATTACTTAGCTCTTCTGTGTCCATATCTACTATAAAGCCTTTTAAGTATTATTTTTTGTTCTTCTTCCTCATTTTCATTTGATTTATTTCCTTCATTATCTTCTTTATTTTCTTCCTTAAACTCTTCCATTTTTCTCATTCTTTCCGCCACATTTTTAATTAAATAATCCTCGTGATTATTCTCATTTTCTGTAGTTTCACTTGGCATTATTGTTGTAGATATTAATAATTTATTTTCTTTAAAAATTTTATCCTTGATAATTGTCGTTTGATTTTTCATTTTCTAGTTAAAAATAAATTTTAGAAAATATATGTATTTATTTATCAATGGTTTATTCAGAGCAGTCATGGAGAAGGTAGGGGTTTTTTCGATCAAGGATCTGAGAAGAGTCTTTATCATTCCCTCCTATTGAAAATTATGTGTTTTCTATAAAATTCAAAAAAATGAAAAATTTTTTTAATAAAGTCGTTTAACACCTTGTGGGTATTAACATCTGCACAAGACAAGACAGAGGACTAGGTCAATCCAGATTTGATAATGGATACGGATATGGATACACCTATTTTAAAATCACTGCGGATATCTGCCTGTATCCGCCGTAAGTATCCGTCCATGTCCATTATCAGGTTTGTATAAATCTTTAGGTGTTCCCAATAAGATAAAGTTTCTCTAACCACCAAAACCATTCACAAAATATAACTTAAATAAAACTAATACCTCATTATTATCTTCATTCTCTTCTCTATTTTCTTCTTCATTCTCTTCCTTTTCTTCCATCTTATCCCCACCTTCTTCATTATTAATAATATTACTTTCATTAATTTTCGCTTCATTTCTCACTCCATTTATTTCATTTTCAGTTAAATTATTATTTAATTTTTCATTTAAAATTAAAAAATTTGTTGTATGATTATTTATTAAATCGCCATTTTTAATATTATTTAATTTATTTAAATATTCATTAAATTCTTTTTTATTTTCCTCATTTTTTTCTTTCACTTTTTCATCATTTTCTTGAACAATTAAATTATTTTGTTCAATTTCTTGATTTATTAAAGTTTTGTTTTCTATCCAAGAATTTGGAAGATTTTCTTTTTTATTTTCTTCTGTATTTAATTCATTCAAAACTTCTGTTTGGTAATCTCCAGGGATTAAATTTAATGAAGGATTGTTTAGGGTTTCGTGGTTTTTTGGTTTTTCAAATTGAAAAGCTATCTGATAAAAATTAAATTTTTAATTTTTGAATGATGAATAATCCTTTTTCTATTATCAAGGATATAGCCGACATGAAAAATAAATTCCTGATTTTCGGGAATAAAGTCGTTTAGAACCCTGCCTTAATTAGTCCTTGGTTATTAGGCTAAACCCAAATTCGGACAACTTTGATTGGGAAATTGAGCAGGACTGAGATTTGGTCTTGATTAGTTCATTACAAAAGGAAAAATTTTTTTAATAAAATTTAGAGACGTGTACGTTTATTATAGGCGTATTCAGTGTACCCAGAGGTGTGCGAGGTTCGCCTTTCGCTTTTTAAAATCACTTTCGGCACACCCCTGGTACACCTCTAATAAAAAATAGCTTTTGTAGAGGTGGATCCAGAACGGCAAAAGGTGTGAATTACACATTATTTATTTATCTACTCGATTGGGATAACATTTTCGCCTTACCGAATTTATTAAAGGTAGATTTTGATGTTGTCGTTCTATTTTTTCTTTTAATTGAATATTAGATGGTGGTAATATTTCTATATTATTATCAGATTCTTTTAATTCTTCTAATTGTGGGGGCTGATCAAAAGCAATATTTGAATTTTGTTTTAACCCATTTGCATTTATTGTAGGCTGCTCCTCTGCCAAACTTTTTTAAATTAAATATATGTAGGTAGTTAGGTATGTATAAAATAAGAATATTAAATTTAGGAAAAGATGGAAAAAATTCGATCGAAAATTCGGTTATCGAGATCGAGAATTTTTCGAGATCTTGATCTCGATTCTCGTACGACACTCCAGTCCTGGTTCTAACTTTTTTTTTCAAATTTTTTGATTCGCTATGAGCCGAAAAGAAGAATGAATTGAACTTCTTAAACGTGACATTGAATCAAAAAATTAAAGTTTCAAGAAGAATCTAGATCTAGATCAAGGCCCATCTCTATTTATTATCATTAAAATTCTTATTATCATTAATTATTTCAGTATTCCATAAAATTTAATTCAAAAATTTTTTTAAAAAATCCCACTTTGTCTCAAATTCGATTTCATTTTTTGTTTTTTCAAATCCTGTAGATCTCTGACAATATTTTTCATCAGAAGCATCATATTTACAATTTACAATTCCATCACAAACTTGTTTTTGATTTATTTGTTGAGTACCACTTTCACACAAAAACATATTATTTTGTGATAATGAATTACGTGATTTTTTGCATAATTGTTCATCTTCTCCTTAATTAAAAAGGCTATGTATTTGAAAAAGCAGAAGAATATTTTCTAATTTTGTTTGCATTACTTGAGTGCATAAAAGGGATTCTCTTCCGCTTACTTTCCCACATACACACTGACAGAAATTGATAAGACCCCCAAGTTTTAAGTAAAAAACATACTTAAATTAAAAATATCATAATTAAAAATACTCAGATAACCTAGCTTATACGTTGATTTCCGGGTTTGTGGAACTCGATGTAGGGATTATGTTAGAACTCAAAAAACCCAACCCTAATTATCAGTATAACAATGACAATAATTTTCACTATCTCTTATAAAAGCTTTTTATTGCTTTTACCATTTGGACATTGAGCATAACCATCACACCTTTCTTTAGCTTGTATACATTTTCCAGACTTTCGGCAAAAGAATTTGCCTGATCCACAATCTGTTAATTAAGAAAAAAATGTTTTGTCTTAATTCTTTTGACAGACTTTCACAATCCAATTCATCTGTTCCATCCGCACAATCTTTAATTCCATTACATCGTTGCCCTATCTGTTTATTTAATTAATTTTTTTTTAATTATTTATTTTGTTAAAAAATAATTTTTATTTCACAAAAATACCCTAAACTAACAGGAATGCATTGCTCTGATACAACACAAGGAAATTGAATAGCTTTACACATTGCTAAAATGAATAAACTTTGAAAGTTTAATCTAATTAATTTCAAAGAACTTTATCGAAACTTACGACAGTTTTGTTCATCCTCCTCTAATACACAATCATAATTTCCATCACATCTTTTGGACAGGGGAACACAATCCTCAGACAAAGGACATTTAAAATCTTTAATTGATGTGCAATTGGCAGCGACTTGAATTTTTGATAATTTAAAAATATGTATTAATGGCATTAACTAGAGACCGGACTGGAAGTGTCGACGATAATCGAGATTACGAAAAATCTCGATAACACGAAAATTTTTCGTACGAGAATAGAGATCTCGAAATATTCTTGATTTCAATTACCGAGATTTGCATAGAGATCACGTCTCGGTCCGGTCTCTAGTATTAATTCCCTACAAAGATGATTGAGATTGAAAATAAAATTTTGATATACAAATCAGCAAAACGAAAACGAAATAAACTTATTAGTTTCGAGCGATTGGATGGTTATCGTGAGAATTTCCACAATGCCTCATACTAATCTTCTTAAACATAATCCTAGACTTTTCTCAAATCTCTCAATGCCTCAGCCATCTGTTAATCCCTCTTAATCCCCATCACCCCTCCAAATCTACTAGTAAAATCCCTCTAAACCTCCAAAACCTACCAGAATTATCTCCAGTAGAGCACCCTCTAACATTATAATCATAATTGCAATTTTGTGTACCAATAACATCATACACTAAACCTGTCCGGCAATTCTTTCTGTATGTTCGATAACCGTCACTTTGCCATCGACAATGGTAGAATTCATTACTTAAAAATTTTATTTTTAAAAATTATTTTTTTAAAGGAATTGCTCAATTTCTCGTAGAATTGTATCTCTATAAAACCACAAATTCAATTGTTTATGGGGAATTGAAACAAGCCTTAGATGATTTTTTAATGTATAAATAAACAAAATTTTTCACTTAAGGTTTATAAAGTCAAAAAACTTAGAAAAAAACTTATAAAAAATAATTGGTTGGTTTAGCATCAAGTACTTAAGACAGGAGAAGTTCCACCTACCGTATAACTTGTATAATTACCCAGGGTAGTTAATAAAAGTTTTACGATATGTAGCCTAGTTAATCAGACAATAATGATAACGACAGAATTTTTGATTCGAGATGAACGAAACGACGAGAATGTTTGATGCGGATGGTTGAGTTTCTCAACGACGGGATTAATTAGAAAAATGAAAACGACGGGAGACAGCTTGAATTAAAGTGCTCTCGGAGATGGGTATGGCAGCTTTACTATACCTTAATTATAAAAATTTTTACCTGCAAGGAAATCCAAGAAATTGCCCCATAGGTGCACGTATCAGACCTGATTGTTGAATAAGATTGGTGTTATTACAATAGTTTGGAACGTTAGGTTCAGATTTGTTAAAAATAACAACTTCATTAATTAAATTACAATAAATTGAAATAATTAAAAATATAAATATGTAGTTTATTAATAAATAATTATTAAAAAACATTTTGGATCTTTTAAAAATTATTTAGTATATTATAAAAATTAAATGATGAAAATAAAAACAATTTAAAAGGATTTGAATAATAAAATGATTTTTGAACAAAACAAAAGGTATTTGGAGACTTAAATTCAGTTTGATTTTAATAAAATTCTCTTGAATGTTCTATTATTTCTTATAGTTTTCTTTTGATTAATAATTTAAAGGTTAATTAAAGGTTATAAACCCATAGTTTAGCACCGGTCAAGAATCAATCCTGGACGTGTTATCAATTCCTGTTACGCATCTCGAAGCAAGGTTTCTCAATTTTATAAATTTTAGATCCCTACATAGACGTTTTAATTGTTAATTAATTTAAATTTAGTAAATTCTTGGAAATTTTTAAGGAGAAAAATGTCAAAAATTAAAAAAAAATCCAAAAATTTTAAAAGAAGGAATAAATAATTCAACCCCAAACAACAAAACAAAATCTTTAAAAAGTAAATAATCATTGATCAGAAGAACCTTGATTTTTCTACAAAATAAAATAAATATTTTCAAAATAATTTTAATGAAAAATGATCAGGAAATTAAAGGACTATAACTAGTCTAAATATGTCATAAAATGAATAAATTAATTATTTTATTCTTTACTGTCTCAAATATTTTTATTATTTTACTTTTCTTTTTTTTGACTGTCCATTTTTTCCGCGCGAGAAAATTTTTCTTTTTTTTGTTGTTTCTACTACTTCAAAAGCTAAATATATTTTTAATATATTTACACTAAAATATACATGCAAATGAGATGGACAAACAAATAATTAAAGACGATGAGGAAAAAATAAAATAATATTTTTATAAAAATATACCTATGTATATTGACAATTATTAAATTTATTATTTAAAAAATTCATTTACGGTTTTTCGAATTGTTTCGAGGCGGGGTATGGAATTTTAACGAAAAAAATTTTTAGGGAAAAATATTCAAAAATAATCAGATTCGTTATATTTTTGTTAATTTATTCAAAAATTAGGAAGGAGTTGGAGGGATTAAAGAAATATAGTATGAGGGACTAAGAGTATTTAGGAATTAGAGGGATAATCGCGGATATGGGAGGAACTTGGATGGATTAGGGTAGTTTAATTGAATATCAGTAGTGCTTGAGTTGTTACGGATTTGACGGAATTTATGTGGATGGATATCAGTGGATTACGGAGGGTTAATCCTCAATATCCAAATAATCCCTCTTAATCAACATACAATAGAATTTTTGATTTCCAGATAATTTCATCGAAAAATTTTATTACTTAATAAAAATAAAATTTTTAAAATGTCGAGAAAAACTAGCTAAAATATATATTGGCGTAGTGACAGAAGACCCACAGACAGAAGACCCAAGGACAGAAGACCCACAGACAGAAGACCCAAGGACAGAAGACCCACAGACAGAAGACCCAAGGACAGAAGACCCACAGACAGAAGACCCAAGGACAGAAGACCCACAGACAGAAGACCCAAGGACAGAAGACCCACAGACAAAAGACCCACAGACAAAAGACCCACAAGAAAAATTTTTTAACCAAAACTTAAGAAGAAATTTTCTGAAATTTTTGAAAAAGACTTGTCAATTTTTCTAGGCACAAGTTAAAAAATATTTTTAAAATAAAAGAAAAATTTATTCCAAAGTTAATCAATAAAATTTGATTAATAAAAAAGTGGATTGAAGAGTAGGGTGTTAATTGGGATATGTAGAAATAGCGTGGGATTTAGAAAATATAAAACCTCAAATATAAACTTCAAGTAAAACCTCAAATCCACTTATGTCTATTCTTATCCGTAAATTATTTATACATAACAGTAACCGGGAGAAGGAATACTCAGATATCTCTATTAAACAGAAAATCGGATATGTCAGGATCGGATATGTCATGTTTTTTGACATGACCTGGACCGGGTTAAAAATCCCGAAAATCCCTTCGTTAAACAAACTCCCAGGTCATTGGGACAAGATTCCCATCGTTGGAACAACTAAACCCATTTTTACAACAACATCCCCCATTGTTAAAATACCTGTTTTTGGAACAACTTCCCCGTTATTGGAACAACATCCTACATTGTTTCAACAACCTTCCCAATTTTTGGAACGGCCTTCGCTAGTATCGAAACAACTTTTCCCGTTTTTGGATCACCCTTATGGAAAACTAAGAAAATTAACAACATCCCTCGCGCCAAAATTTATGCACAATAAAAGGGAAAAAATAGTTGTAGGTCTTTTGTCTGTGGGTATTCTGTCCTTGTGGGTCTTCTGTCTGTGGGTCTTTTGTCTGTGGGTCTTCTGTCCTTGGGTCTTCTGTCTGTGGGTCTTCTGCGTCGACACGAATATATATTTTAAACATGAAAATAATTTAATTATGAAGAAATTGGAGTAATTTGGTTTATCTTCTTGTTAATAAAAACTTTTGGAGTAACATGTATTTGTGGAGTTGGTGAATTATTAGATATTTTTTTAAAAAATTTTTTGATTAAATTAAATTCTTTTAAATAAGCGTCTCTGTAGTCAGAACTTTAAAATAAAAATAAATTTTAGCATTATCATGTTTTATACGTCCAAATAAATGTTTTTCAAGAGTTTCATCAGTTTTAAAATATATTATGGGGTCCATAACATTTTTTCATTCAAGGCATATATTTTAGTTTAACGACCCCTAAAAAAAGGGCCCTAAGTAAAAATATGTTACAGATTCTATGGTTAATTTAGACTGAAAACATCCAAAATTACATTCGATTGGCCCTATTGGCATTATTACATTTTTTAAAATTTTATTCAAAATTTACCTATTAATAAATAAAATTGGGGCATTTGCAGCTAAACCAATCAAATAAATAACACCAAAATAGGATAAAGTAAACCAAGAATCTACACTTATAATTTCGTGCTTTGTTAAAGAATCTCCAACAATAATTATTACTATTGTGTTGTAAACTATCATAAAGCCAATATTAAGAAAAACAATTAGAGACAAGGAACGATAAAGTTTTTTCATTGTTGGAATATTTAAATCTGAAAATTTAAATCTAAAAATTTTCCGAAGTTGAGTTAAAGTTCGAATATTAAAGATTAATAGTTAGGTACTCTATATCAAGCAATACGAGTCTGCCCGATAATAATCATTAAATAGATCACAAACAGGGCGAGCGCAAGACACTTGCGGCATGCCCCTATTTTGACACTTGCGGTTCCGATACTTGCGGCAATGAAATTTTCGGGGAAGAGATTTGCGGCTATAAACTTGAGGCCCAGACACTTGCGGCCCAGACATGCGGTTTTGACATTTGAGGCGCTCGCTATTGTGACACTTGCGGCCCCGACATTTGCGGCCATGATTAAAAAATTAAGTAAATTAAAAAATGGGCCAATTACGACAGAAATGTAATGCGCTCACCACTGATTCCAAACAGAAATGTTTTAAAATAAAAAAAACATCAAAAATCAGAACACTAAATTTCGGAACAACTCTAATTTAAAAAGACTGTGTGATAAAGGAGCGATATTATAACTAAAAATAGCCAAACTGTTTAAAAAATGACCTGTTACGTATTTAGTTAAAATTGCAATAATTAAGTAAATTAGTGCAGATATAACAAAAATTACTAATGGAACAACAGAAGCTATTGGATTAATTAAAGAAAGAAATAATGTATGGTCTAATGGATTGCCAGTTACTAATATATTCTTATAATCAAATATTGGCAAAATACCATATAAAAATATTGTTATAGCAAAAATAAATAATGTTGTTAAATGTACGATAATATACAATTTTTTGTTCAAGTTTTTATAACTGAAATAGGAATTACGATTAGAAAATTTTTTAAATTAATTTACGAATTACAATTACAAGAAAGTTTTTGATTACAACGCAATAACGTTGTGGATCCGGATATCCGGATCCGAAAAAGGCCTGATATCAAGAAATTTTTGGTTCAGATATCGTATCCGAATATCCGAAACTTTTCAACTATTCGATTTACAACGCCAAATAAAAAGCGTGAGATTAAAAAATCTAATCGCTTTTTTTTTAATTCCATTAAATATTTTTAAATAAACTTACAATATTGGGAAGGCAATAGCAAATAAACGATCAAACCCCATAAGTATATACATAAAGTAAGCCGAAACATATGAAACAACTATATAAGCAATATAAAATTTTGCAAACCAAATTGGAAGAAAATTAAGTCCAATAGATACTCTTATCAAATAAATTAATCGAATTATTTGAGATAAAATTTCAATAAGTGCATAAATAAAAAGTAAGGTACTTGTATTGCTTTTTAATGTAGTATATTTTTTCCTGAAATTTAGTAAAATTTACAAAATATCAATGATTGCAGTTGCTATTTTGAGCTGATAAGGCGTAGTTACAGAACAGACATAATAAACCAAAAAGACCCCCAACACAATATAGACCCTCCAACCCAAGACAAAAGAATGAAATAGGGTTTGACCCCGAACGCTCGGGGGCGGGTATGTCGGGGTACGGGGTTTTCGAATTGTTTCGGGGCGGGGTTCGGGTCGGGGGAGCAAAATATGCTCGGGGTTCGGGTCGGGGTACGGGGTTTTAGGAAAAAATTTTTTAAAGAAAAAATGCTCTAAAAATGAGCCATTTTGGGTCTATTTTTGTTAATATATTCACAAATTAATGAGAATAAGGTGTGATAAAATTGAAATAAGATAAATTTGAGTGATTAATTGGATCTGGAGGTGATTACGGAGGATTTGGAGGGATTAAAGCGGATATCTGGGGATATATGAGGATTTGTAGGGACTAAGGGTAGTTTCAAGGCGGGTTCTCTCTCTCTTCTGTCTGTGGTTTTTCTGTCCTTGGGTCTTCTGTCTGTGGGTCTTCTGTCACTACGCCGTTTCAAGGGATATCATTGATTTAAGGGTTATCGAGTGATTAGGGATATCAGTGTAACTCTTTCTTTTCTGCGCCGCAGGCAAAATTTTGAGAATTTCATAAGGCCAAGTAGCCAGATTTTTTCGTTTTTTTTTGCGCCGCAGGCGAAAATTTTTAAAATTTTTTAGGTCAAAAAGCCGGATGTCTTCGCTTATTTTAGCGCTGACCAAGAAAATTTTTGAAATTTTAGCTAAACAAAAAATCTTTACATTGTTTTTTATGGTTGATAATATTTAAAAATAAGATTTACATTTTAAATTAAAATTAAGTTCTTGATTTTGTAAAGAAAAATCCCAAAACAAACGAGCCCAGCTTATTTGGATCCGAACCCAACCCTATATTAATGGAAATATAGGCTAAAACTAACAACTAAGCCACTCAACCACAAGTCTCTTAACATAGAGTAAAAAGAATTTTGATATTTCTTTTATTTTTCTTTCAAAAATAATAAAGGCAAAGTAAATTGGGGGTAAATTTTTAAAATTTCTCTCTTAAAATTCTCCCAAAAATGGCATTTTTTGGTATATAAAACCCCCGATAACCCCGAAACTTTTCGGGTCGGGGTACGGGGTTTTCACTTTTTTTCGGGGCGGGGTTCGGGTCGGGGAGAATCGTGAAAAAATCGTTCGGGAACGGGGTCGGGGTTCGGGGTACGGGGTCGGGGTCAAACCCTAGAATGAAATGTCATTGAACTCAGCTCTAAAAGTTGAGCAGCATGAGTGGTGTATGGTACCGATCCGACAACCAGTGACCGAGGTCGAAAAGCCTAATAGCCCGTCGATCTGAGTCGAATAGTTCGATTCAGTTCGACGAGCTCCACGAGCCCTAGTCCCAACACAAGCGATCCACGAGCCCTAGTCTCAACATTTTTTGAAAACTATTTTTCTGGGCATTGCAAGGCATAACCATATTTTGTCAATGGCTATTAGAATAGACCTCTAAAATCCTGGATTATGTCTGTGCGGTCCACGTTAATCGAGTCCGTATTTCAAATATATTATGAATATTCTAAATAACTAGTTATAATTTACCTATATTTAATAATAATATAGCAAAGACTAAAATTTGATATTATTATAAATAAAGAAAATAATGTAGTAGTTAAAGCATTAAAAAATAGTTCGGGAACAAATCCTGTTTCATTGTATTTTGAATAAAATGGCTTAAATTAATTTTATATATTTTTATAATAATAAAAATTAAAAACTAACGCTATAGAAACTTTTGTTGTCTTCCATTTTTTGGTACAAAATTTAATAAAAAATATTAATTTTAAAATTTATAAATTGAAATAAATGTTCGTTTTCACACTTAGTTTCTTAATTTTATTTTAAAAATTTTTATCAAATATGTAATGAATTAAAAAGCATAATGCGTGACTTTAAAAATATGCTTTAAGATTGACGTAATAATAATTTTAATAAAAATTCATTTCACACTTAAAGGTTCTTTCTAGACATGCAAATGCATTTAATCTATTAAAATTTTTTCCAATTTTTAAGAATGTTGCATGTCATGGATGTGATCTTTTCAAGCTCCAATTTTTTGGCCTTTTTACACCTTACACACTATAATACCGTACATTATTTTTGCCGTTATTAATTTTGGCCTTCAAAATTTTTCCGTGATGCCAGAAAACAAAAAAATCTGGCTTTTAGCCTTGGTTTTTGGCCTTACTTAGAGTTAACTTACCTTAGCACGCGCGTCCTTAGACACGAGTTAAAATTTTTTAGAATTTTGGAAATTTAAGACATTTGATGGGTCGTAATCCCAATTTTAGTAATATGTATGCTAAAGTGCAAAAAACATGAAATGTAAGCGGTTGTAGTGGTAAATTTTATTAAAACCTCTCATAATCTGTTAAATCTATTAAATTTATACTAATGTATAAAACTATGTTCAAATTTTTATTTTAAGAATTGAATATTTAAATATGTAAAGACTTGGATTTTTAATTATAAATTTAATTAGAAGCATAATATAAAGCAGCTGGTTATAACTAAAATAGAATGAGCAGCTGCTTATTCTCTCTATCAGCCTTCTATAATAAATATTTTAATTATTCTTGAAAATCAAATTTTACTAAGAAAATTAACTCTTAAAAATTCATAAAATTTAAATATTTATATTATGAAATAAAAAATTAAGATACATAATTAATTTGGTTTATATTATTGTTATTAATGACTTTTGGGATAACAATTACTGGAGTTGATGTATTATAAAATATTTTTTTGAAAAATGTTTTGATTAAATTAAATTCTTTTAAATAAGCTTCTCTGTAGTCAGAACTTTAAAATAAAATTATATTTTTGGTTTTTGAGTTAAATAAATTGTTTTTGTGGATGAGTTTTAAAGTATAATATCGAGTCCGAACATGACTCTGTTTCCAAGTTTGGATAAGTCCGTTAGTTATTAGGCTATTGGAAAAGTATAGCAGCTGGGCTATAGCTATTTCTCTCCTTTAGCTAATGCAAAAAGTTAATCGGCGGCTGGGAGCGAACCAGCATCTTCAGTAATCCGGATTGATGAGTTATCCATTACACCACCCCGCTTACTGTACAGGAAATAAATAACTATATGCTTTACAGAAGCTAAAAATTAAGTAAAAATAGTTTTGCGAAGACACGATAAAAGAAAAACGGTGAAAATTCGTAAGCGATTTTGTCTCACATTTTTATGAAATTTATTTTTCTTCGCAAAACGCAAAGCTTTTCAATAATTTAAAGAAAATTTTTTTGTAAATTTACCTATTAATAAATAAAATTGGAACATTTGCAGCTAAACCGATAAAATTAAAAACACCAAAATATGTTAATATCAACCAAAGATTAGCACTAATAATTTCATGATTTTTTAGCGCATTCCCAGCAATAATTGAGGCTATTTGAAAAATTAATAATAATCCAATATTAAGAAAAACTATTAAAGACAGAGAACGATAAAGTTTTTTCATTTTTGATGAATTGGATTGTAAATTAGCTAAAAATTTCAATTAGTAGTTTAAGTTATTCTAGATGCGCAAAGATTAAAAGTTAAGTTTTTTATGTTTAACTGAATTTTTATACTAGAACGTAAATGTTTACGAAAAACGGAACGAACAAAATTTTTTGTGCAGATCTGAATTTGCAACTTTAAAATTCTACGTGTTAATTCAGTTATGAAAATTTCCGATTTCCGACGTTTTTTCCTTATACCAATTTCCGAGTTCCGACTTTTGAGCCAGTTCCGATTTCCGACACCTGTGACTTTCCGACCCACCTCTCTATCCACCCATCGGATTTATAACCTTTAGGTAGATTTAAAATTTAAAATAGGTAACCTGTTTTGCATTTAGTTATAATAGCAATAATTAAATAAATTAGTGCGGTTATAGAAAAAATTATTGATGGAATATAAGAAAATATTGGATTAATTGAAGAAAGAAACAATATAATGTCAAATGGATTTCCAGTTATTAATACATTTTTATATTCAAATATAGGCATAATAAAAATTAAAAAGATTGTTATATTAAAAATAATTAATGTTGTTAAATGTCCCATAATATATAATTTTTTGTTTAAAGTTTTATAACTAAAAATATAGTTAACAAAAATGTTCTGTTAAAATTAATTTAACTAACTTATAATTAGTGTTCGGATTTGTATTGAACTATATTTTTTCCTAAATATGTCATGGCGAGAGAAGCCCAGATATGTATGCTATTGGTTTTTAGTTAGTTTGATTTTGAACGAAGTTACATTTCAATATATTTCAACATTTTGTCAATTTTCCAGTTATTTCAACATTTTGTACTTTTTGCAAATTATTTCAATATTTCACTTTTTTCTTTTATTTTCTATTTTTTTCTTTATATTTTCGATTTTTCTGTCTAATTCTCTATTTTTTCCATTTTTCCATTAATGTTCTCTTTTTTACCTTATCTATTTTTTAACTCGCTGATTAGGTCCGATGTCAAATATAAAAAATCACATCTTCTTGGCTACGAGAATGGGTTTCAAAATTTCCAGAGGGAGCCCCACGAAACCGAGGCCTGTCAATACGAAACCGAGATCGAAAATGGCGAGAACCTCGGCGAGGCCTCGACCCCATGCAACCCTAGACGAGACTACAGAACACCATCTATATAATCTATTGAATATTAAGTTGTTAAACTTACAATATTGGGAATGACACAGCAAATAAACGATCAGAACTCATTAGTAAATACATAAAATACATGGACAGATATGTAATATTTATATAAATTACATAAAATTTTGCAAACCAAATTGGAAGAAAATTTAGGCCAATAGATATTCTTACA